AGCCTCCAGTGCCTGGGGAAACCGAGGCCGTGGGTGGCGACAAGAGAAACGTGTGGATGAGAGTGGAGAGTGGGGGGTGCTCAATGAAAGGGGGACACAGGACCGACTCCCCACCTTGGCCTGAGCCTCTTCTCGGGACCTCCGCCGCCGCTCCTGCTGCTTGCTGGTTCCAGGGGAGGCTTGAGGGGCATGGTCCTCAGGGGACCCCTGGGAGCGCGCCCAAAGTTCCTCACTGCGCTGCGTATACTGGAGCTGGGCCCGCCGCAATATCTGCACTGCCTCGTTCTGGAGGGTCATGGAGGGTGGGGTTTGGAGGGAAGTTAGTGACTGGCCTCTTATTCCTCCACTTGCCATCCCCCACCACTTGGCATCTCACCATCCGCTTCTGCTCCTTTATCCATTGCTCCTTGAACTCCTTCCGCCATTTCTCAATTTCAGTCCGTTTGGCAGCCAGTGGCTAGCAAGGGTGAGGGATAGTAATGCAGCCTCAGGACCACCCCAGAGGTGCCACTCACCAGTATTCTCCATTCCTTACACCTGCATGCCTTTTCTTCTGAACCCTTTCCTTTTTTTTTTTAATTTTAATTTTTCTTTTTTTGCAGTGCAGGGGATGGACCCAGGGCCTCCTGCATTGGCTCCTCCACTGAGCCACACCCCAAACACTGGATCCTTTTCTGAGTCTGTATGTGAGAGTCTTTTCACCCAGGCCTGCTCTCCCCTATCGGTGTGATCATGAGCAGAACTTCAGTGATCATCCCATCCTTTCTGCCTGGACCCAAACACACAAAAGGTCATCTTCTGAGAATACTCAGCATTCATATGTCCTTCTTTATAAACATAAGCAGTTTTGCAACTGCACAGGAAGCCTGGTTTGAATCTCTGCTGGGTAACCTTGAGCAAGTTCCTGAGCATCCCTGGGCCTCAGCTTCCTCATCAGCATAATGGCAATGATGATGGTAGCAGTGACTTCCTCCCAAATTGTTGGGAATGGAGGGAATCTCACACAAAGGACATCAGAGTGCCCACCCCCTTACCTGGTAGTAATCTCTTTTCTGCTGGGCTACTGTCTCCAAGGCCAGGGTTCCCAGGTTGAGATCATGCTCCAGAAACAGAGTGTAGATATACTGCAGTGGCATGTGGCTCTGGGAGTAGGGTTAGGGGATGCTGAGGATCAGAGGACAGAGATGGGAAACCGGAAGGTTTGGGCTCTGGGGAAGTCTGCTCACGGTTACCTGCTGGTGGATGGACACCTTGCCAGCCTCAGCAATCTTCATGATGCTTTTAGCAAATTCCTGCTCTGTGGGGGAGTGGAGGGAGACATCAGAGTCCAGATGTCAGGGTCCAACTCCCTGAGGGCTGGGGTTGGGTAGAAGGGGCCCTCACCATAGCTGGCTCTCTTTTCAGTCCAGGCCAGCAGCTCCTTGGCATAGCGGCTCCACGTCTTGGCGTAATCCAGGGCTGCATCCACGCCCCCTTTGGTCCTTATGAGCCTCAAATCCAACTCCACCCCTGGGGCAGATGGGTGGAACCCTTAACTCTGAACACTGCCCTTCATTAGAAGTTTTCCCTGAGCCCTGGGACTAGTCCAGTAGCCCATGTCCTATACCCTCATGGCTCCAACTTCCCCATTTGGGTCAGTGTTCTGATGGCAACTTTACAGATTCTCTACCCAGACTGGGGACTCCCTGAGGGCTGGGGCTTGGATCTGTTGTGTGCACTGCTGTGTTCCCTGAACCTGAACAATGCCTGACATGGAACAGAGTCAGTGCTGACTTATTGAAGAAAGAACTCCTTTCTGCCCCCATTATCCTGGCCTCAATGTCCCCTACCTGTGAGGGGCGCAAGACCCTCTGGGGAGGGGCCACTCCAACGGCTGGCTTCACTGGTCTGGTGGGGGGGGGGAGACAGCATTCAGGAGCAAGTAGGGCAGAGATTCTGGCTCAGGCCCCTCTTCCTTGTCCCCCATGTCCCACTTACCACAGTGGCTGTGGTGACCTTGTCAGGATCCAGGTCTTCTGAGATTACAGGGTCTCCAGACAACATCTCGAAGGTTCTGGGGGGGGAAGGGGGTCAGAGGCCACCTCTGTCCAGTCTGTCCTGCATGTATGTGTGGGGAGGTGCTGGGGACCCTAGGGCAGTTTGGGGGACAGTCCTGTGGCATCTCTTGTGTCTGGAAGGTCTAAGGATTTGGCAGAAGCCAGGTGAGGATTTTTCTTATTTTTATAGGGTTTGAAAGGCCCTATATAACTTTGGGGTTCATAGAGTACTATTATAGCAATCTCAGTTGTTTTAAAGGTTCACAAGAAGGATGTGTGGTGGGCTTAAGGCCACTTTGGGAATATATCTAAAACATCTGGGATCCTATCTTAGACTTTTGATATTATTAGATAAGTGGGTCCAGATGATGCAGATTCCAAATGGGGCTTAGGGGCACCTGCATGGTTGGAAGTTTTGGGGATCCTGGCAGGATTTGGGTGATCCAGGTTCAGACTCACACATTTCCCAGTGAGATCTCGAGATTATCCAGGCTGCGGAAGATGTCACTGTACCTCTTCCTGCTCTCAGGAGCTGGGGGGATCCCTGGGGGAGGGGAGTGTAATATATGGGCCAACCACTGCCTCCCTCCACCCACAACACCACAAGCCACAATCAGCACCCCAACCAATCTCATTTAGAGGGGTCGAGAGAGAGAGTGCAGGGGTGTGGGGAGAGTGGGATGCAGGGAGAGTGGGCTTAGGTGGGGCCAACTCAGGGCAGGCAGATGGACCCAAATACAACCACAGACAGCTGCTCAGAGGAGCAGAGACACCCACACAGGCGGGAACCCAGAAGCAAAACAACAAAACATTCCCCAGATGCAGCTACATTATCCGGGAGGACAGAGATGGCTTGACAATGGAACCACATGGACCCCAGGCCAGACAGATGGAAATACACGTGGGACACACAGGCACAGAGCCTGCGGCATAAACACATGGACAGACTGAAACCACGAGGGACTTCAAGACTGAGTGACTCTCCACATACAAGAGACACAAAGACATCCGGAAACACAAGTCGGACCTTTTCCACATTTCTGCTGCCGCCCCCGCCCCCTCTTCTAGGGGCCTCAGATCAACATTGTCCGCTCCCTGGGGCTACGGAGGAGCCCTGTGGGGATCTTACTGCGTTGCCCTCTCCAACAGCGGTCGTGACACCCTGCCCCCATCACAAAAATCAGAAGCAGAAGCGGCCACTTCCCTTTCCTGGGCCCCCTCCCCCGCAGCGTCCTGGGTGAAGGCTCATTAGTGGATGGAGGCTAGTCAAGGGCTGGTGTTCCGAGCCCCTCCTGGTTGGGATCCCCACCATGAAGGATCCCTGCGATTTTTCAAATCAGGAACTCTTTTCCCGGCTCTCGAGACCAAGAGGGACAGACGGAGTTACTCAATCTAGGAACTGAGAGGGACATCGTGGAAATCTACCCCATGCTCAGATTCAAGACCCCCTACCTGGCTCTGATGTATCCATAGTTGAGCCCAGGGATCGTTCAGCGGAGACCGGGCCAGCGACAGGGCTGCACGCCGGCGGGGGACCAGCCCCGATTTCCTGCCGCTGCCGGCGCCGCCCGGGTCCTGCCTCGCCCCGCCTCTCCGAAACCACGCCCACCAAAGACCACGCCCACGCGACGGCCACACCCCCGAGGCCCCGAAGCCGGGGCTGCGGCCACTGCTCAAGCAACCTTAAGATCCCGTCTGGTCGGAGTCTCTCCGTTGACCATCCTGGGTTGCAACGCCCCAGATTAGGGCATCTAGGACTTCGTACAAGACTGGTCATTTTCTTAGATTTCTGTGCCAACCGAACGCCCACGAAGCCCCAACCCCAAGACCGTCGTTCTGGGGTGTCTGTCCCAGAAACTTCCACACCCTATGACCCAGTAACCTCCAAGCCCAGAGGTATCTCGGAATCCACGCCCGCCGGATTCGGGCAATGGCGACTCCTGGTGGAGGCCTGACGTTCTGCATGATTTCGAAGTAGAATGTACTGGGGTTCAGTCTCTGTGACCCCCGCTCCCCCGACCCACTCATGATCTTCAAAGTTGGATTAGGCTCTTGAGGCCCCCACAGTGTTGTCAGAGAGTGCCCCTCTCAGAGACGCGGGCACAGAGAGCCCCTGCTCTGGGATACCCAAGAATCATCCATCTCAGGGATTCGGAGATTTAGCAGCTCTAGTCAGGTAGCATCAGGTTCCCTCAAGCCCTGTCCAGAGAGTGCACTTTACTGCTGGTCTTGGCCCCCTCCCTCAGCCTCCACAGGGCTCCTGTTCCCAGGGTTTTCCTCATGCCACACTGCCTGATGAAGCTAGCCACGTGTGGGTGGGAGGTGATTGACTATAAGCAGCTTTGTCAGTTATGAAGACAAGTACACATCCAGCACTGTGGAATTTTTGGCTGGAAATAAAAAAAACTTTAAAGTATGTGTGAAATTTTGCTTCCTAAAGTTGTTTGCTTTTGCAGAGGCAAATCTAAGTGGCTGTGATTCTAGGCTTATGCTACTTACTCCACAATTTATTTTTTATTTCTGTGGTACTGGGGAAGGGAACCTAGGGCCTCACACATGCTAGGCAAGTGCTGTACCATTACATCCCTAGCTCACTACTCTGTAATTATTGAGTTTCAGTATGTCCCTTGAAAGGAAGGACACTATCAGTACTAGGGCTGAGCCACGGTTCTGGGTCACATCCTGGCTGTGAGACCCTGGCAACTGCCACCCTAATCTGTGATGTGAGGTTGGCACCACGGGATAGGACCCCAAGAAACATGACCCAAGTCCCCAGTATCTATAGTGGTGTGGATCATATTTTACACATCTAAGACACCACCAAGAGGAAGGCAAACTGTTGTATCAAGTATTTATGGAAGAGGGAAAAAGACAGCCAATCCTAACCTCTCCCAGTACCTGAGATTCACCTGGCTTGTGACCTGCAATAACCCCTGTGTGGCACAGACAACATGGAGGCAAGGCTTCTTAAAATCTTGGATGCTGCTTTATTTAACAAAGGGGCTATTTCCACAAGCCAGGCCAGCAGAGGGCTGTGGGGGCCCCAGTTCAGTCTTCCAAGGGCAAGGCCAGGAAGCCTCACCATGGGGGTAGGGGTGGGGGACACTGTTTCCTCCTGGGGCCCTGGCAGGGCTCCCGCCTGGTGGCAGCCAGGGTAGACGGTGGGTACCAGCACCGCCATCTCAGGAAGGCACTTTCAGCTTTGGGGTCCCCAGGAAGAACTGTAGGACACGGTCGGCCAGGAGCGCCAGGCAGAAGTCCAGAAGCAGGACCTGGGCGATGACGAGCTTGAACTGTTAAGAGCAGAGAGGGCTGATGAGTTGGGGACCTGTGGACAAGTCCTTGTAGGTGGGCCCAGGCTGAGCCCCAGATGTACCTCTGCAGGGCCACTCACCTCCACAGGGATGTCCACGAGGCCAAACTGGCTGTTGAAGTCAGGTGAGGAGCCGAGGAGCAGGCCAACAATGGCCAGGAGTGACACAGCCAGGCTCCACACCAGGGGCTTATTCTCGGGCAGGCTCTCCATGAAGGGTGGGCCCTGTGGGGACAGAGGGACAGATGGCTGCATGTGGTAGGGGCCAAGAGGACATGTAGCAGGGTGTGCTGGGCAAGAGGCCAAATCTCACCTTATAGTTGATGGCGAAGGTGGCCATCTGCATGGCCATGGCCATGATGTACACAGTGCTGTTAACTAGGGTCGGTTCAAACTCCTTGTACAGGTCCACAAACTGCTCCCGCCTGTAGAGATGCCGGGGGAGGGGGGGGGTGGGAAGAACCCCTCCCTTGCTCATGAACCCACTATGGCTCCTTGGTACCCCATCCAAGATGACCCCCAGGCTCTTATAAACATCTGCACACATATCCTCCTGCCATTCCCAACCACAGACATTACTTCCGCTGGGGACAATACTTACTTCCCAGGGCTGCGGGCCTGGGCCTCACTGTACAGGTAGACAAGGCTCAGGAAGTGCACAAAGAACTGGAGCATAACCGTGAGGATTGTATATAGGTTGAAGATATTGGGCAGGGGTCGCTCTCGAGACAGGGTCTTCAGGGGCTGCAGCAGAAGGGTTGGGGGTGGGGTCAAGGCCTGGCTTGTCCTAGGATCACTCTACCCTTTCCCTCCTGGGAGGCCTTGTGCAGATAGTGGTCACAAAATGCTAGGGTAAGGCTGGCACTGCTGCCCTAGTCTGGATCCTGTCTATACACTCCCACAGCAGCCTTGGGAGTCTTAAAGTCAAAAGCACATTGTTCCAATTCACCCATTTCCGCTGTAACAGAACCCACTCAAAGCCCTTTCTGAGGCCCATGAAGTATCCATGGATTAGCCCTACCAACCTCCCAACCTCTGGCCACTGGGGTGTCAGCCTGTGCATGCCAGGGACTTTATGCTCAGTTCTTGATTGCCAGCAGCTCCCTCTTTATGAGTGGGCCTGAAGATCAGCATGGCATAGGACTCTATAAGGAGGTCCCATGTAGCCTGTGACCCACTTAGTTGTTTTTTTTCTTTTGGTACTGGGGATTGAACCCATGGGAGTTTAACCACTGAGCTACATCCCCAGCCCTTTTTTGTGTTTTATTTAGAGACAGGGCGTCACTAAATTGCAGGGGATGGCTTTGAATTCACGAACCTTCTGCCTCAGCCTCCCGAGCCGTTGGGATTACAGACGTGCGACAACACGCCTGGCTTTCACTTAGTTTTTTTCAGGGCCCTGCATATCCTCTGAGTGCTTTTGGTAATTGTTTCCCCATCTGACCTCTCCTTGCCTATGGATTCTGGCTGAATCAAGACCCCAGCCTGTAAATTGTGGGGATCCCAGGGTATGCCACTCAGAGGTATCCTGGAATCTTGGCCTGCACCTGCCCTGCTGGTACATCGTATACTATCCCAGATACAAGCTTCTGGGCCCTGGATCCCCAACTATAACACAGAAATAAGAGTTCTCATTTTAGGGGCTGCTGTGAGGGTGAAAGGATAGCACATGTCAGGGCTTTTAACAGTTGGCCCTAGCTGGCCCTTGTGTCCTGGCCTTCCAGCACCTCCAGGGCCTACCTTGGAACGAGAGATGAAGAGGAAGCAGCCAGCCAGTAGCAGCCCCTGCAATGTGGCCTGGAAGTCGCTGAACTTGACACCTTCAAGGTACAAGACACTCTGGCTATAGGCCAGGATGAGGGCATTGAGTGCCAGGATCTTGAACATCTGCAGTGTGGTTACCAATGTGCAACGGCCCTGCTTGATCACGTGGCAGACTGTGGGGTGAGAAAAAGCAGGTGTGGGTGGGGTGAAGTGAAGGGATGGGCATGGGCTTAATGGTGGGTGCTGGGACTCACTGCACTGGATGGATGAGAGCTTAGAGGTGAACGGTGCTGCAATGCTGGCATCCCCCAATTTCACAATAGGTGTGCTTTCATCCTCGAGGTCCCGCAGCACCTGGCTTAGGCGGTCCTGTGGGTTGGATGGCAGAGGATCAGCCCTGGCCAAAGTGGGTACCAGCATCTCCCTCCATTGACTCACCCTTTGGGAAGTTGGTGGTTCCTCAGAAGGTAGAAGCCCCGACCTCTGCTTGGCCATCCTGGAGGTGGCCCTAATACCACTGTTGTTCAGAACTGGGCTGTCCCGGGGCCGCCGTCGCCGCTCAACGACTCTCTCAGGGGCATTGGCAAGGAGTGCTACACCTGGTAAGGCAACAGGAGCAGGGGGTAAGTGAGGTCCTGAGAAACGGACTCCAGTGTATTTGTTCATAGCAGAACTGGACATGCCAGCCTCAGAACCTTTCACCTGACCCCCCTAAGGAGACCTCAGAAGATGTCCATTTTGCTTTCAATAAACTACAAAGAAAGAAAAACAAAATCCACAACAAAAAAAGAAAACAAAAGCCACAACAAAAAAATAAAACAAAAGCCACAACAAATACAAGGAAAAATCACACTACAGAAAGAGTTACAACTACACTTTTTCCAAAAAAACTTACTGCCCAAAGAGGATAACAGGAAGAAGACAATCCTTCATACAATTCTTTAATAGGTAAAGCAATGGAACAATGGAAAACCTCAGAAACTACTTTAGGTTGACCTATTTTGTATTTTATTTAGAGACAAGAGTCTTATTGAGTTGCTTAGCGCCTCGCTATTTCTGAGGCTGGCTGTGAACTCACAATCCTCCTGTCTTAGCTTTTTGAGCCACTAGGATTACAGGCATGTGCCACTATGCTCGGCTTAAAGTTTAACTTAACGCTGGTGTCCCTTTGACAGAGATCTCAGTCTATGAAGCACCAGCAATCATTTCAGCCCCTGGTTTTCTGAGTTGCCTTCCCCATTTGCCCCATCTCTCCCAAACTCTGTTCCTGTCTCTTGCACCACTTTGATGTCTGAATCATGGTGGCCCCCCCAATCCCTTGCACTGCTTCCTCACAGGAAGTGGTGCCTTCGTGACTACCCATGTGCAATCAAGGCCAAGTTTTCTTGCATAGTGATATGTGCCCAACACCAGAACCCTGAAGGGACAAACAGCTGCCAGCTACTATTAGGGCTCACCCACATCGGCGTGCTTCAGGGCGCCCACGTCGTTAGTGCCATCCCCACACATGAGGGTCACGTAGCCCAGCTCCTTCAGACTGGTGATGACAAATTCCTGCATGACAGAGGCATGCTGAGTGAGGGCTGTGTGCCCACTCACAGGGTCCCCAGCAACCCTGTCTCCCTAGTACCCTGCACGCACCTTCTGTTTGGGGGCCACACGGGCAAACACCTGTACGTGGGGGATGATATGGAGTAGCTGCTGGGGGTCGGTGGCCTGAAGGTGGGCCAGGCCATCACCTGTGAGGCACAGTGCATGTTCCAGGGCCAATGTCTTTGGGGAGCCCGGGGACAGGGGTAGTACGATGCTGCCATCAATGGAACGCCACTCGCACATTTGGCCTGTGGGGCATCCAAGGTCAGGGAAGAGTGCTCAGCTACTTAGACTCTCCTCTCTAGAATCCCCCATCTTCCAACACCACCCCACTTCACCCCACCCCTGCCGACCTGAGCCCTAGACACTTGGACCAATACCATAGCTCACCAAATACTTGCTCCTGCTCCAGGCACTCCACAGAGAATATTCACTGAACCCTTAGGTATAGCTGAGGGAACTAAGAACCTGAGCCTGAGCTATTTGCTTAAGATTACATGATGGGGCCAGATGCAAATCCAGACAGCCTGATCTCAGAAGTGAAACCACCCTTCACCTTGTGCAAAGCACCCTTGACATCGATCCCTCACCTAATGAACTTCCATCTTCATTGCCTGCCTGAAACCTGATTTTCCTAGGACAGCCTCCCTTCCTGCTCTGAGAATGCTCTCATGTTGTGTGCTTTCTTTCTCTTTTTCCAGAACTTGGCCTTGGCTTGGATGCAGGAGTTGAGGATGAAGAGGCCAGGGCAGCCCACCCCACAATGAACCACTCACCCTGGAAATGTCTCAAGTGGGAGGGAAACCAAGCTCCTCCTGGGTTTTGTTATGGCTGTTTATACCAGCTTTGTTGTCAACAATAGTTCTGACTGTTCCCTCTGGGCCACCTATCCACAATCCTTGGGTTCCGGGATTGAGCTTTCTAAGGGGCAGCTGGCTAGTTGCAGGAGCCAGCCTGGTTGGACCCTACCCAGCAACTTACTGGCCCTGTAAACATTTGCCACCCATAGCCCTGTGATGCCACTGCTCCATGTAACTCCTCTCATGATCCTGTTGCACCTACCCAGGTCCTGCACTAAGCACACCCCATGCCCAGTGACATCAAGTGAACTTGGCCAAGTAGGTTCACTTCCAAACCTCTGTTTCCTTGGGTACAAAACAGGGCACCAATAGCTGCCTTAGTAGTTGGCCTTCCCCTCTGAGGTGTGGGCAAGATAAACTGTACTGTGCAGTGTGGGACAGGTTAGGACTGACATGGTAACATGCACCAAGCCATCTACCTGGGGATTGGTCATACTGAGCACTTGGCAGATGATGGTATCATTGGGTGCTGGGGAACCCAGCAGATCCCGAACTTGGGAAAAGAGCACTTGTACAAGGGCAGCCTGCTGGGCCCAAGATAGCTATGAGGAGGTGGCCAGTGAGCCAGTGTGGCTAGAGCAGCAGCCAGTGACACTGGGAACATGCAGAAAACCAAGCTAGTGCGACCACCAGTGCCTCATTACTGTAAATTAACAATGCAGATCCTGGAACCAGTGTCCCAGTGACTGCCTGTAAGCTGCTCAATGACCTGGGGCTATGATCAGCAATATCACCATGGCAATGGGTGACTGAGGATACTGCTATCACTGAGGCAGGCTGCTGGGACAGGAGCTGTTCCTGGCCTAGGGTCTCCCCTGTGTCCCTTCCCTGTGCCAGAGCCTCACCTTTGTCTGAGGGAGGCTGCAGGATGAGCGTGTGGGCCTTTTCAATGAAGTGCAACTCCTGGGCCACGTGGCAGGCAGTGAGTGGGTTGTCGCCTGTGATCATGACCACCTTGGGGAGACAAGGGTGAAGGTTTAGCAAGGTAGGCCTGGCAGGGCAGAACCCCAGCCTGGAGAACTGGCCATCACATCTCTAAGACGAGATATGGAGGGAGGTCAGTCCTCTAAGGTTGACCCCAAATGGGGCTTGGGGCCACAATCCACCCGACCCCATTTGGGTGCTGCACAAATGATGTGTATGTGAGTCTGAGTCCTGAGAATATCCATAAATTATTTTCAATCCCAATTCTCCATAACTTTTGTTTACAATACAAATTAAGCATCAGCCTCTGTAGAGACCCTCTTGGCTTGGTAGTTTCCTATGGGAGGAACATTCTGGCAATGGGAAGGATGGACTGTGACCTTTGAGAGCCTGGTAGGAACCAATCAGCCTATCATGGAATTGCTACCCCTGGGACTGACTACCTATCTCCCACAACCTAAAAAAAATTCTCAAGTTTCAAAACAGAAAAAAAACAAACCACCAGAGACAGACAAAAACAACTAGGAAAAGGGTAGGGTGCAGCTCAGTGATAGAGTACTTGCTGAGCATATGCAAGGCCCTGGGTTTTGCCCCAACACTGTAAAAAATATAACAAAACCATCAGGACAGACAGGAGCCACCACCCTCATTTCCCTCACCACCAGCTTTAGCTTTAAGCTTCTTTTTCTCTAGGACAGGGCTGGGGCGAGGGAGTGGGGAGAACAGCCCCTGCTTCCCAGGGATACTGGGAGATGTGTGGAGGTGACATGAGAAGAGCCAAGAGTGTCCTAGAGTGTCCTCTGGTTGGGACAGAGCGAGCACTGCAGGTATGACTGCACCTGGCTAAAATCTCACTACTGAGACTATAAGGCTGACATTGTTCTCTGCTGCCATCTCCCTGGCCCATGCCATACCCGATGGGATGCATTCTGAATCTCTCGAATAACAGCCTTGGAGTCAGCCTTGAGTGGGCAGGAGACCACGATGAAACCGACAAACTTGAGGCTGCATTCCAGGGCTTCACGCTTGACCTCCCGGGCCTGTGGACAGATGTGAGGAACCTTTACTATTGGTTCCTCTGCCAGTCCCCACTTGGCACTTCCCGTAGAGTGGAGATAACAGTCCCTTTCTCAGGAACTAGAGCTTCATGTAACAGTGCTGGGTGTGGGGGATGGAAGGAAAGATCCTGTCCTTAAAGGACAGTTAGGCTAGGGTCAGGGGAGGTATAAGGAAGATGCTAGGCATTCTTGACGGATGGAGTCTGGCAGTAGTTGGTGTCTAGGTTTTTGGATCATGCCTCTACCTTCTGGTTGTGGACATGGGCATATCATGGAACCCTTAAGGCTTAGCTTCCGAGTCAATAAGGTTGGGACTCTTTCCTGTAGCCAATTACCCTTATCTCCCCTGTACCTTCAGGGAACTCCCAAGATACCAAGAGAAAGAGATGATAAAAGAGAATCACAGAAAACAGAGTACTGAGTGCCACCACAGAGATGGGGAAATGGGGTGGACAGGGTTCGAGATGGCATCTGGGGGCATGGGGAAGGCTTCAGAGATCATGGCTCTTGAAAAAGGCAAGGGCCTGTGCCACTGGGGAGCAGAGGGCTCCAGATTCAGGAGCAAGACAGTGACCACAAGGAAGAACACGTGCTGGCTATGAGCCTAGACTTGACCTGGGGCCCTGCACACAATGCTACAACCTGACATTAAGTTCTAGAAGGATGCTGAGGATGTATGTAAGCAGCCTGAATAAGGGCCAAGGGACAGCAGGCAAAGGGGAAGCTGTTGGCATTGGACGGGGGAGAAGAATTTGTGGATGAAGAGATGTGGGCTGAAAGCTGAGGATGCTGCTAAGACCTTTCAGCGACCAGGAAGTATGGAAGGGAAGGAATGCGGCTGGGAGATGGGAATCTGCAACACCTGCCACTCCCTAAGGAGGGTACACAGGACATGCCAGAGTGGGGACAGGAGATGAAGCCCAGATGTGCTCCAGGCGACACAGTCCCATGGTTGAGATCTGAGATATAAGGTAGAAGCTGGAGGAAGGGAGGTGACAGGAGGATGGCAGATGAAAAGCCTAGATCCTTACCTGCTGGTGGGTAAGGTGCCCTAGCTCCTTGTACCCCAGTGCGAGGACGCGGGCTCCTTCTCGTGAGATCTCAGTGTGGATGTGGTGGTAGTCAGGCGGGCACTGGGAAAACTGCAGGGAATGCAGGGGGATGTCACTGTCTGTCCCTTGCCCTCCCCACCTCTCTCCAGGACCAGGGCAGGCTCACCATGGAGTGCAGGGTTTCAGGGGCCCCCTTCACAGCCGCGATGTAGCAGAGGTCAGTGGAGCCGAGCTTCTCATAGGAGGCGAGCACGGACATTCGTTTTAGGGCACTGGCAAAATGAAAGCGCTGGTGAATTTTCAGCCCCTGAGTTTTAATACTTCGGGGGAATACTTTCTCATCTGGAAACAAATAAGTACGAGTCCTGAGGGGCTTTGCTCCAAAGAGGCAGCCAAGCCCCCACCTCTCCGCCCAGCCTCCCCACCTCCTTCCCTCCCGGGGGTCAGAGCTGGGAGACCTGAGCTTGGAGAATGCTAGCACTGTGGCTTCTGCCAGAACAGCGTGGATTCCAATCCAGGAGGACACCCAAGGATGTGGACTGTCCCGGGACTGAGGTGAGCCTGTGCCCACTGGTCTAGGCTAACACTACAGTTGTGGGCCCACCTGCCCAAAGAGAGGTAACCCGTGACAGCCTGAAACTCTAGCCCCTCACCTTTGGTCAGTGTCCAGTCCACGGCTGTGAGCATGGCCTTCTCAAGGGGGTCACCCACAAGGGTGCCATCATCAAGCTGCATAAGGGAGTGGCATGAGGCCAGGGCACGGTGTGTTTCTACAGGGATGCTGGACACTGGGGTCACCTCCTTCCCATCTCTGCAAGGACGGGGAGTAGCTGGTTATAGGATAGAAGCAAACCAGTTGGAGCTGTACCTCTACCAGGGGAAGGACCCCAGGAATTCCAGAAAGGGACAGTGGGATGCACCCTAACAAAGCACTTGTTCTGTGTCCTTGGATAGGAGTCTGGGTCCTCATGAGACTGTACCAGCCTCACAGAAGGCCCGAGAGATCGTGTATTGTGCATGAAGTCACATGGCTGGTGTGGAGTGGAGGTTGGGCTGGCTGCTCTGGGCCTGAACTGAGCTCTCATGCTGATACACTTATTCTAATAGAGGACAACAGGGGGAACCTCAGGAAGCAGACCTTTGAGACAGGGCTTCTGGCAGGTCTTCACTTTAAGGGTCTGGGCTAAACTGTTTATCTCTTGATTTCCCAGAAGCCCCTTTGCTGGGCACCCTTAAGGCCCACAGTCTCTGACACTCACCTTAGCCCAGCCACACCACGCACCACTAAGCTGTCACTGGTCAAGGTTCCTGTCTTGTCAAAGCAGCACACCTCGACCTTGCCCGCAAAGGGGATCCGGAAGGGCTCCGTGCAGTACATGTCTGAGGAGTGGGAGTCAAAAGTCAGGGATCCCATCAAGATCCAGTGTAGTCAGTACCCCAGAACCACCTTTCACACTCACAGAGCTTGGCCAGGGCAATGAGGGAGGTGTTGACAGCTAGGGACAGCTCGATGGGCAGCTCAGGGGGTACAACCGAGGTGAGGATCAGGGTGCACTCCAGAAACAGCTTGTAGCGGTTCCGGCTGGGGTCCTTAGTGCCTGCAGAGACAGGGCCTGCCAGTCTGAAAGCCAAGAGGGCAGGGTCTCAAAGAGGGGTAGGGCCATGTTGCTTACCTTCAATCCACACATAGGCAGCCGCTGCAATGGCAAAGACCAGGAGGAAAAGGATAAAAATGAAGGTCTCCAGGTTGTTTGCGGTCACCCTCTTGACCCCAAAGAGAATTGTGCGCAGCAGCTTGCCCTAGAGGGATAGAAGGACAGAAGCCTTTTCTGGTGGGAGACCTGCAAGAGAATGGTGGTCTTCCCTGCCTGAGAGCATCAAGGCCAGATTTTCTATATTCTGGGGTTGAAAAGGGTCAATATTTCAGCCATCCAGTACCAACCCTGGGGCCCGTCCTCCCTAGCCCTGGTCAAAGCCTCGCACCTGGGAAGTGTTGAATCCGGTACGCAGGACATAAGCCACACACCCATTGTCAACCGCTGGGGAGACAAACAGAGCCATCGTCATTCAAGTACCTCATGATCAAGCAGATGTGGGGAGGAGGGGTTGGGAGACAGGGTACCCTTAGACACCCCTGAGGCACCTACGCTTCAGGCCTGTGGTGGCCTTCTGTGGGGGTATGTGTTGTACCACCTTGGTGCCCCCAAAGATGACATGGAGCCGGGAGTCAGCTTGGAGGTCCAGCACCCGGTCTGGGTTAAGGTCTTCAATTGGCTCCTAGGCGGGGAAGAAAGATGAAAGGTCTTGATGGTCATCCCCCACCTTAGACTCCTTGGTGAGAGTCTCTGGAGAGCTACACCCTGAGGCTGGGATGAGCCAGTCTGACCCCCATGGGTTTTTGTGCCTGACCTAGCAAATTCCACCCAGCCCTCAGGTCTCTGCCTTCACCAGAGACAACAGGCCTTTCCCTGTCTTCTCTCTGCATACATGTGCAGCACTGATACCCCATGACCCCACACCTGGCCTCCTGGTTTCTCTTCGCCTGCCTCAGTCTAACATCCCAAGGTGTCTGGATATACGCCAGATGTCTGCAGTTTCTCACTTCCACTCCCCAATACTACCCAACACCCCGCCCCCCGTCCATGGCATTAACTTGAGTCCACTTTGCCTCCTCCATCTGTGCCTGGAAAGGACCCCAGCTCAACCACTCTCTTGGCCCACACACCAAAGTGGACTGAGGACCCCCCATCCCCCAAGCACCTTCATTTGTGGCACCGACTCCCCTGTGAGCATGGCCTCGTCCACGATGCAGCGGCCCCGCAGCAGCAGCACATCACAGGGCACTAGGTTTTCCTGGGGGGAGCGGCCTGTGGGGGAAGGGTGAGAGAACTGGCCAGTGGCCCTGAGGAAGGGGCTTCCACCTAGATATCACAGAAAGAGGTCTCACCGATGGAGACAATGTCCCCGGGAACAATCTCATCACTGGCAATGGGCCTCCACTTGCGGTTTCGGTAGACCTATATGGGGGTGTGTTTGTCAGTCCAAAAGACACACCTGTGCTATGCTTACCCCAAGAATGGGCAAGGATGCCCCCACCCCAGACATCCCTGCTGGTTGTACCTGTATCATGTGGGGCTTATTGCCCATCTTCCGGATCTCTGACATGTTCCGCATCTGCTGCTGCACCAATGAGGCCTCAAAAGCCACCAGCATGGACAGTGTGAAGACACTGTAGTACCAGTACTCATCCAGACACCAGAGCCCCACGCAGAACACCTGTGGGACACTGGACTGTCCAACCCTGCTCACCTGTCCTGCCCCCTGGAACCCTGTGCACCTGAGGGATACAAGTTCCACCCACAGGCTCTGACCCATGAGGACAGGGAGGTTTGGGGATTTGGAGGTGGCAGACAGACTTGTACTGGCTGTGAAAGACCCAAGGGAGAGGACAGGAATAAGGACCAGACCTGCTCCTTTACCTGAAAGACAAAGAAGGGGGCTGTGGCTCTCTCCTTGAAAAGTTCAGAGAAGTCAGGCACCACCATCTCAGCCCTGCAAAAGACCATACCCCACATCCAGTTACTGATGCAAAGCCACTGAGGTGCAAAGACCCTATCCTTGACACCTCCACCTGGGGACACTGTAGGCCTCCAGGAGAAACGAGGAGCCAGGTATGGTAAGCTTCCAGATAGGAAGCTCCACTAAGCCATGATTCCTCCTTGGCTCTGTTGTGCCCAGTGCTGACACACTGACCACATAGTCCTCTGCTCTGCAGAACCCAGGCTTCAGAATCTGCAACAGGCTCTTCTGGCATCATCCACCTAGAGGGCCTGGGGCAAGATCAGAACCCTGCCACCTGGTCAGGTGAAACAACAAATAGAAGAGTGACCAAACAAGGGGAGCCCTTGCAGAGGGTACTGATAGCTGGGCACTGGCAGTGGTTTTCCATTTTGGGTTCTCTTGGGGGTCTAAAATACAGAGCCTCAGTCCTACCCCCAGTGGAACTAGGATTACCTATCTTCCCGAATAAAATCCCTGGAATTCAGAGAGCTTGGCTCAAGGGCGTCTTCTGTGGCACTGTATGGTAGCCCAGTCTAAGGCCCAACCAATGAGGGAATGAAGGGACATGCCCAGATATAACAGGATGTGAGATGATGAAACCAAAGAATGATCCCACTGTTGTAAAAACAACCCATAACAGGGCTCCCATCCTGTATCCTGTTAGGGGCCTCTACTCAAGGGAAAATGTCATGAAATAAAATATCTATGCCACTTCATTTATGTGGCCCACCTCAGGCTAGGGGAGATGGTAAATGCTTCTTCGAAATCTTCACCTTACATAGACAGTCATGGTAAACACCTTTATAATTTCCTGAAAATCACTGCGCCAGTAAAGAATCCCTTGAGATATCTTGTGTGTTTCTAGGTAGAGGACCATTGCCACAATGGCCAGGATGGGAGCTTGACAGGGTCTGAAGTCCAGCTTCATGCTGTCCCTTCCTGGATGCATGCCAGCACATGTGGTTTTGGTAAAGATTGAAGGAGAAAGTGCATATGGAGCATCTGTCATTCTACTCAGTACAAAAGAATAGCTATTATGACCATCAATGTCATTCTTTTTTTACTAGGGATGAAATTCAGGGTCTTCCACACATGGGTTCTACCAGTGAGCTCCACCTCTGGCCCTACTAAAATCCTTTTCTGTGTGTGTGTGTGGCAGGGTGCTGGGTATCCAACCCAGGGTCTTGCTTTTGCTAGGCAAATGCTGTACCACTGGGCTATATCCCCAGGTTTTCCTCAGGCTGGCTTGAACTCATAATCCTCCCACTTCAGCCTCTTGAGTAGCTGGGATTACAGGTGTGTACCATAACATACCTGGCTAGGGACAAAAGTTTAAAGAACAAATTTAAAAGAGGAAATTGCAAGAACAAAATAAAAACTGCTGCTGAGGAAGGCCATGGACCACGCTCCCTTGAGAAGTAGCATGTTTAAGAGTCTCACACCATGGGGCAAGGGTCTTCATTCTAGGCCCTCTGGCAATTTGTGTCAGCAGACAAGTTTGAGGGAGATAGAGTACAGCATGTTTCTCAAAGGTGCTATGTTCACCTGATATGTTTGGCTAAAAGGCAGATACCTGTCTCACATCTTGGACACCCTAAGCAGGGAGCAGAGCAGGGTAGAAATGCCAAAGGGGCCAACAACAGGGACTCACTTATTGCTCCCAAATTTCTTCTCAGCTGCTCGGATCTCTGCATCTTCCTGGAACCCTCTGTTGCTCTGATAATATGAGAAGGTGTTTCCCACAGGAAAGGCCACAGGGAGGAATTGCTTTTTCTCAAGAGCATCATAGGAATACTTGATCTTTTGGAATTCAAAGGACAGCACCTCAAGCCCATCTTCACCCTGCAGTAGAAGGTATGTTTGTGACAGAGGACTCTAACCTGAGGGATATCAGTATCCAGGAATCCCTCCCAAGCCCTTGATCTGGGTGGCCCAGTAGGTGGTCCCTACCTCATCACGATGCAGGGCCACGAGCTCTGTGGAGCCATTGTTGGGGGTCGGTACCACCTTTACGAAGGTCGCTTTGCTAGGGTTGTATTCCTGCCAGAGGCAAAGCATTGCCACTGAGCCCTTTTCAACCCATGGGTCCACAGCTCCCATTGGTGGGGGCATGTGGGCACAGCAGCTGCATGGTCATGTTCCAAACATATCACTGGGCTCTGACACTGGCCTGCCCATTTTCCAGCCTGTCATTGTATAAGGGGCACCACCTCACTGTGCCCCTGACCCCATATCATGAAACTGGAGTCATGGATAGCACCCAACACCCAGGGCTGTGAATCAACTCACATGTTCCTACCATGTATGAAGCCCTAGGTTTGATCTCAACACAAAGAAAAAAAAAAAAAAAAGAGGAAGAATGATAGCTGGCACTTAGTACAAGCTCCCTCACAGCTCACCCCTTACCACTCTGTCTCTCCCCCATCCCCTATTCTTGTTGTGTAGTCTAACACACAAGGTTTATCCATGTCTGAACAAAGGGCCTTGGTATATGCCCTTTTCTCTACCTGGAACACATCATACAGTTGGCTCCCCTGATGCCTTCAGGCCTTTACTTATATGTCACCCTCTCAGAAGCCCTTCCTGGCTGCCCCACCTAAAGTTCCCTGGCAATGGCCCCATGCTTATCTCAATGTTGTCTCTTTTTCTTGTGGTGTTGGAGATCAAACTCAGGGACTTGCACATGCTAGGCAAGTGCTGTACCATTGAGCTACACCCTCATCCTTTTTTGGTTATTTTATTTTGAGATAGGGTTGCCTAGGCTGGCCTCAAATCTGTAATAGAGCAGCTGGGATTTCAGGCAGTGCCTCAATGTTATCTCTTTTTAGCATCAACTGCTGAACGAGTTATTTCTCCCACCAATGCCACAAAGGCAGTTGACTTTGCCTGTTCTGTTCGTGCTGTTTACCTAAGACACAGGAAGTACTCCCTCAATCCTGTGTGCTGTATTCTTTCCATGGCTGCTGTTAGACCCTCCTTTTCTGCTAGACCCTGTGATGACTGGGGGGGAGAAGAAGGGGATAGGAGCATGGTCATGACTCTAACAAACTGCCATGAAGGGAGTAGACTAGACACGGAAGCAGGCATAATAAAACAGCAGTAAATATATAACTACAAACTCTGGTAATGCCATGAGAGAAAAGTACAAAATATATGGTGCTGATTCCATGGTAGGCACTTTGCAGATTTCATTTCAGCTCTTCATAATTGCACTTGGAGGTAGGTGTTACTGTTCTCTCTTTACAGGAGGGAGAAACTGAAACTCAGAGAGTAGAACCACCCATCTGAGTTGTGATCAGTCTCTCCTAACTCCAAGGGTGTTTAGCTCCTCCCTGGAAAGGAAGTTCACAGCTACACTGTTTTAGCTGCAGACCAAAGGGCAGCTAAAAGCCAGTGAGGATGGAGAATGTCACAATCCTCAAATCCCCTTCCTTTAATTGTCTATTGCTAGGGTCTTTCATTGTCACCAAGCCCAGAAGTTTCTCCCCTGGGATGTTTTACTGGAGGGGAGAATGGGTTCACACTGTCAGGAGAAAGAGGATCCAATGCATATTAAGAGCCAAAGAAAGTGGCTCTATCTCATCCTGCAACTCCTGTTGCTGTCCCCTTTTCCTCTTCTTGAGGTCAACACACACCTGGGATTAGAAGGGAGTCTCACTGGAGGCAGACCTCAGTGTCCAGGGCTCCAAACTTGCTGGTATGTAATGAGGCAGGCACAGCAGGTGGTGGTGTAGTCACTGGATGTCAACTGCCAATCTAGGGCAGTTCGTGGTCACCACCTTCTGTAGCAGCACTCATTCATTTAGAACTCTGGACTGAGGGTCACATGCACTGCCTTGCAACTGTATTCTGAGTAGTCCTCACCATCACCACCCTTAAAGATAGTCATTATGAGACTTCAAGCTATTAAGCTGCTTACTTACAAATAGCTCACTTTAAACATTGCAACTCACTGCATTTCATGCTTTTTTGATCTAGCATAGCTAGGAGGCTGAACATTTGCACAGCGTTACTTGGTTATAGGACCAGGCATCACAGATGGGGGGAACCCACCCTACAGATCTAGCCTCACACTTTGAAAATCAAAATAGGAGACATTCCAGAAGGCAGGCAGGACTGTTTCTGGAGAAACAACAGAGTATTTGACAGTGTGGGAGCTAGCACTAACACGTCCTATCAAACAGCAACATATGCTGAGCCCTGCACAAGTCTTACAGGTATGACATTATTGAATTTAAATTAATGTACCCAGAGAAAACGAAATAAATCCACACCTGGATCGCACAGCAAGTCAGCAACGGGGTCAAGATTAAGCCTGAGCCAAAGGGTAGAGGGCGCCAATGGGGACTCAGTCCTAGCAGATGGGGAGGATCCGGACGTGCTGGGGACCTACAAGATTGCTGCAGCTGGGATCCGTGGCGAGGCCCAACTGAGCCAGGGGTCGGGCTTGTGCGCGCGCACTTACCGGGGTGCAGGTGAGCGCGCAGTGCGCGTGCACGGACCAATGCCCCGAGAGGACGGTGAGCGCGTGCGCGAGGCAGATAGTGGCCAGCACAAGCAGCGCGGCCTCGGGGATCTGAGCCCAGCTACTGCCCCAGCCCCAGCAACCGGCGGCCGCAGCGCCCAACCACGCTGGGTAGAGCAGACCCGCGAACGGCAGCACGGTGAGGCGCCGCAGCAGAGCGAGCCGCCGGTATGGCCACACAGCGGCAACCAGCTCGTCGCCGCTTGCTATGAGCGCTGGCCCGGCAGCAAGGAGCGCGTGCGGTTGCAGTCCAGGCTTGGGCTGCCCGTCGGGCCGGGCCCCACAAGACCCGGCCCCGCAGGGCACCGTGTTGCCCACCGCCGCCATCTTTCCCAGCGCCGCGCTCGTTTCCGGGCAGAGGCACCGCCTCACTTCCGATATGTTACTTCCGGTGAACCCCGATCACCGCCATGGTGGACCTGGCAGTAGGAAGCACCAGGGCAACCAGGAAGGCTGGGTCCGGAAGTGGTTACTCAGGGAGCCGCCATAACAGCCTATGGTCGGTAGAAGAGAAAAGGCGTCGCCATGACAGGGCCTCAAAGCCCTAAATCGGCCTTCCCCCGCTGCCATGCCGGATTATGACCGGAAAGGACAAAGCAGGGAGGGCAGGCTGAGCGCCACCATGACAACCTGAACAGGAAGAGGCGAGCCTTCCTCGGAGACTTCACCAGCTCCGGCCATGAGGGGCGGAGCCTGGAGATTGAGACGAAGGGGCCAGTCTAGGAAGAGGGGAGTTGAGGGACTGGGTCCGTTACGGGGCGTGGCCTGTCATGAGGGCGGGGCTTGTGAGGGACGGGACGGGATGCCTCTCCTCCGGGACTGGCAGGACTACAGAGCCGACCTAGAACACAACTATACCTGATCAGAGGTGTAACAGACATACACTCTAAAGTCATGGTTTAAAATTAGAAAGTGAAAATCGGCGATTATGTGAAATTATATATTATTATATATTACTCAACTGTTGTGTTGCACAAATGCTATTATTGAACACAACTACAATAGGACTACTAAACACTGCCAATTAATAGTAATTAATAGGATGAAACAATTAGTATGTGTGATAAAATAATAATAGTATTTTAAATGTATCTGTGTCATGGCAATTTCTCTTAACTCCTTTTAAGATTTTTTTTATTGCATGTTTCAATTTCGTAGGCTCTATTGTTGGGTTTTGGTTTTGCTTCTGTTTTTTGTGGTTCTTGTTAACCTGGGCGTAGGTGTGCTAGGCAAGCACTCTACTAACTGAGTTACATCCCCAGCTCCTATTGTTGGGTATTCCTTTTTTTTTTTTTTAAGTTGTTGATGAACCTTTATTTTATTCATTTATATTTATATGTGATGCTTAGAATTGTAAGTCATTGCCTCACACATGCTAGGCAAGCCCTCCACCACTGAGCCACAACTCCAGCCCCTGTTGTGTATTCTTAAGATACATACATTTAAAACTTTGTAAGTCCATATCAGTGGTGCATACTGATTATCCTAGGGACTAGGGAGGCAGGAGAATTGAAAGTTCAAGGCCATCCTGGGCAACTTATTAGCAAGACCTTGTCTTAAATAAATAAATAAATAAATAACCAACTCCTTAACACCACATAAATCTCTCTCTTTTCCCATCCCAAATACATACATATAGGGTCATGTCTTAAGTTAAATATATGTCAAAAATTCTTTTTTGTGTGTGTGTGTGGTGATACTAGGGATTCAACATGGCCTTGTGCAAACTGCACAAGCTACATTCATAGCCCATTCCAAAAGAAAGATTTATTTTTATTTTTATTTTTTTTTTAATTTTTAGACAGGGTCTTACTAAAATTGCCCAGTATGGCTTCAAATTTGCAAACCTCTTGTCTCATCCTCCCAAGTAACTGGGATTGTAGACCTATGCCACTGCTCAAAAATGTATCTAAGTTGATGTGGTATGTGTCTTTAATCCTAGCTATTCAGGAGGCTGAGGCAGGAGGATTGTAAATTCAAGGCCAGCCTTGAAAATTTAGTAAGACCCTGTCTAAAAATAAAATTTAAAAGGAGTGTGGGTGTGGCTAGTGGTAGAGTGCTTGCCTAGCTTGTGTGAGGTCCTGGGTTGGATCCCCAGTTCTGCAGGGTAAAAAGTGCATTTAATACACCTAACTTACTTGATATACCTTAGCAACACAATACATTGTAGAGAATCAATTGTTTCCCTTGTGATCACATAGCTAACTGGGATCTGCAAACTGCTGCCCTTCTCTGCATCATGAGGGAGTATCATACGGCACATAACTAACCTGAGGGAAAAAAATAAAAATTAAAAATTTGATGTATAATTTCTACTGAAACTTAATTTTCAAACTGTTATAAAGTTGAACTTTTGTAAGTCAGGATCCATCCATAATTCATGTTGCTTAGATGTATCATTATTTGCTCCAACCTGAAGTGTGACTTTCCATTTAGAGAGCATGTGTAATCCGGCATGTTTTCACAAATAATGTCTGGGTTTTGGACTAGAAATGTAGCTCAGCGGTAGAGTGCTTGCCTAGCATGCGTGAGATTAACAGAGAAGGAATAGGAAACTGTACCTTAAATCTGAGAAGCTCTATAAACATCCTCACGATTATTCCCAAGGCTTAATCTTAGAGTATTATGAGTCCAATTAGTTCATTCATACATACATTGCTAGGCTAGTTTACACAATCTATTTTTTAGACTAAATAAAAGCAATGGAAAAATCTTGGAGACTTATGAGTACATTCCAGATTCTTTACCTATTAACTAGATGATGTCAACCTAGAGTTCCTGAAAGAACCAGACCACTGTAACCTGCCCTGTGCTCCATGATTAAGACAGTTGAGTTCACCATGTTGTCACTACCCTCACATATTTCTCATGTTCACTATTTATAAAGTTTCTTTTCAAAGAAAAACAGGAGATCCCCAAAGCACATGTCATTTTGAAGGACCTATATTCCTCCCTTTGAGGCATAAAAAATCCCGCTCCATTGTTTTTCTAAATAAATCTTTCGATGTTTCTCTTCTGACCTGTCCTGAAATTTCTTTCTGTGGCAAGAGTCAACCAGCCAGGACTGAGTGGAGGTCTCCTTCTCCCTTCTGGGGGACCTCCTTAATCCTTATCCAGTGACATGATCACCCAGCAGTGTGGGAACTGAGTGCCCTCTTCACCCAATCTAGTATCTCCATCGAGAAAAGTTCTTTTGTTTCCTCTACTGTGATGGGGCAGCACAGAATTCTGGTCAGGATGTGTGGACTGGGGGATGCTGAGGATGGCAGCAGGTCTGACTCCCTTTTGGCTATGATGGTGGCTCTGGGTAGGTAACCTGTGATCAAACAGGAAGAGTGGCCAGGCACTGAGTGGTATTTGCACCAAGGGCTCCAAGATTGGGAATAGCCAGAAGATCCTGGGATGCAGTTGTCAGGTGTAAGCACCTGTGAGGTCTCTTAGGTAACACTCATGTTTTCAGAAGATAATGGCTGCACCAATTCAAATGCAGCCTTCTCTGCTCTCCACAATCAAAGAGGGCTGCCAAGCTAGGCCTGAGAATACTGGGTGCTATATGTGTTTGTTTCTCTAACACCACCAGCCATTCTCCCTCCTATTGCACTTCAGAACATGGCACCATCCAAACATCTGCTGCCCTCTGCCCCACCCAAACACTGTCCCTGTCACCATCCCCTGTCTAATACCTCTTAAGTAGGAAGTGGCAACCCAGCCCTGCAAATCCTGGTCTCTAATCAACTCTCAGGATGCACAAGATGCAGGTGTGACCACCTCTCAGTGACACTGAAGGTGTGGGCATCACCCAATGCCTTTACACATTCATTCTGGGAGGCCCTGGCAACACACACACACCCTCCATAATGGGAGTGGCAGCAGGCCCCACCTCTGCTAGTAGTTCGAATCTCTGTAGGTGCCTGATCTCTTCCTGCTCTCCCTTTGACCTCTGTGAGCCCAGGCAGATTTGTGTCTCCAAAGTGGTACAAGGAAGAACTTCCCTGAGGCAGCTCAACCAATCAGGCTCCACAAGGGACCAGAGTCAGGCCTGTGGTGTTCTACAAGGTCACCAGCAATAGCTCAAGTCAGTCACTTGCAGTGCAGTGCACCTGCACAGGCTGGTCAGTTTCTTCAGGCCTCACAGGAAAGCTGGTTGATTGTCACTTCCCTGTGCAACCTATCTCTAAGCAGTCACTGTTCATCAGCAGGTATGTATGCCGGCTAGACAAATAAATTTGTTTTTTTGTTTGTTTGTCCAACTTTTTTAAAAAAAATTAGTAGCAAATAGATTTTTTACTTTATTTGTTTATTTATATGTGGTGCTGATGATCAAACCCAGGGCCTCCCACGTGCCTCCCACTCTACACCATTCCATTGGTGTATATATCCAACTTTATCCAACTTTTGATGTTTATTTATGTATCTATCTAACTCTATTTTTTTTATTGGTACCAGAGATTAAACCCAGGGGCCTTAACCATTGAGTAATATCCCTTGCCTTTTAAAAAGGATATATATATATATTTAGAGACTGGGTCTAGTTGAGTTGCTTAGGGCCTCACTAAATTGCTGAGGCTGGCTTTGAACTTGTGATCCTCCTGCTTCACCCTCCTGAGCTGTTAGGATTAGGCATGTGCCACTGCACTTGGCTCTATCCAACTTTTGATGAATATTTCAGCTAATTTCAGATTTTGTCTATTAAGAATAAAACTCATGAAAATACACATTCAAGTATTTGTAAGAGCATATGATATCGTGTGTCTAGGAAATTTTAGAAATTTAGCATATGATATCATGTCTGTAGGAAATTTTATTCTTCTTAGAGGCAAAATGATTTGGTGTTGTGTAGGTATACGTTTAACTTCTTCAAAAACTGCCAAACTCTTTACCAAAGTTCTGGTTCCATTTTATATCATTGGCAGGTGTGAGAGTTGTTCCACATCCTCATCAACATTTGATATAGTCAGGCTTTATAACTTAAGACTTCCAAGTAGGAAGTTTAAATTCTTATTGGTGGTATACATATGCATTTGCCTAATGAATAATGTTGTCCAGTGACATTTCACGGTCTTATATCACACTGATACATATCCTGTAGTTAAGTGTTTATTGCATTTGTTTTTAGATTATTAGTTCTTGAGATTCTTTATATATTCTGGATATAATACTTTATTTGATTATCATTTGTAAACATTTTCTCCCAACCTATGGCAACACTTTAAAATTCTTTAGCAGTATCTTAAAAAACACAGAGAGGGCTGGGAATATAGATAGCTCAGTTGGTAGAGTGGTTGCCTCATATGCACAAGGCCCTGGATTCAATCCCTAGCACACACACACAAAACAAAACA